GAGGAGGGGATGAAAAAAGGGAGGGATGTGGTGAACAGAGCAGGGAGGGCATTTTTGTAATTGCATAGACAAACTATGTGGGACTTCATAGCAATTTGTAAATTTCATGAGATTTTAAAGTAATTAGAATTACTATGTGGGACCTAACAATAATTCTCCCTAAAAAATTATGAAAACTATAATACTTAATGTAAGGCTTACATATGGAGATTTTAAAATACCTAACGGGTCATGGTTGTATGACCATTGATTATTTCAAATTTTTAATTTAATGGAGCTTCTAATAATATTTTGAAAGCCAGACTAATTATTGAATTAAAAAAGTTAACAAATCATTGTTTTTATAGTTCAATTAGTTCAATTGGTGGTGAACATAATTGGTAATATAATAATTAAACAAAAAATAATATTAAATACATATAAAATGGTCCAATTTTATAGTTTCATACCACGATTTAACTAGTCATGATTAAATTAACTAACATATATGTTATTTTATACTAATTAATTTAAATGAAAATGAAAATAAATTTAAATATATAATATATATCTATAATCTTAGGGTGGTTTTTCAATCTGTTTTTTTTATTTCTTATATTTTTTAAATTTTGGAAAAATTATTATTTGATTTCTATATTTTTAATTTGGTTATCATTTAGTTTCTAAACTTTAACTCACTATAACGAGTTCTTATAATTTTAATTTGATTATAACTCAATACCTGCACTTTAACTCAATACAATCTAATCCTTATACTTTTAACTGTTTAAAATACTAATCCCTATATTTTAGCAAAATAAAATTATAAAGGCTACAATTATTTTTAAATTCAAGGTTAATAATACAAATTATTAAAATCACATAAATTGAGTTGTAGCGAGTTAAAACTTAGAGGCCAAGTTGAATACTATTAAAATTATAGAGATTAAGTTGTACTAAGTTAAAATTGAGGGATTGAGTTACAATCGAGTATAAAGTGATTAATTTTCTCTTAAATTTTTATATGAAATTTTTTATTTTGATGTAGTAAAGGATGGGACTTGTGATAAAGAAATACGTGTAGGACTTATAACAAAAATGAGTAATAAATAAGAATCTTGCATTGAAAAGTGTATGTCTGAAACTAGCCAAGAAATTATAAATTGAATGAAATTAATATGTATATATTTCAATTTCATATCCTATTTACATTTTTAAATTTTATTACAATGGCTTGTAGGAAGTAATAACTCATGAGCTGCAATGTTGCTGGCAAAAAAATATGAGCTATAATGTTAAACTAGATAGTTTTTCATGTGTTGCACAGGTTAAATTTAAAAAATTTGAAACAAACACTTTGGATACTATTTATATCGACACATCTAAGATTGTTAAATTTTTAAAAGTTTCTCTATTTAATCATTTTTCTTATTCTTGAATGATGCAACAAAATGTGAATTATGTACTTTTTTTATATTTGAAATATATAAAACATAATTATCTTTCTTATTTTGATTTCATGTTTATAGCGTATTGCCGGAAAAATTATAGCACAAATATTTTTTCATTGAAATTGCATATAATTATATGTCTAATAAGTTAAAAGTGAGAGAATTAATCTTTGTAAATTGCTAAGGTTTGATACAAGAAAATTGTAAGTAATAATATAGATATAACCAAGTAATATAGGTAAACAATCATTAACGATATAAAAAAAGTAATGCATGGGATATTAACCCTCCTTTTTTGGAAGATTGGAAGGATATAGAGAGGTGATTTTAGTGAGTTCAATTTTAAAAAAAAAATATGATGTGATTTATATTAAAATTAGACTGGGCCAAATGGTCAAGCTGGACTGGACTTCAGACTAAGATATTAGACTTCTCAGTCTGGTATAATATATAATATTTTATAATATATGTACATTATATTATATTATATTCATCCTTTGCTTTTGTTATGCAATTAACAAGTAATTTAGTTTTTTTTCTAGAATAATTGTTAAAAAGTCTTATTATGGTATTAACAAGTCAAGTTGCACAATTAACAAGTATTGTTGTACAATTAACAAGTAAAGTTATATAATTAACAAGTAATGCAATTCAATTGAATGAGTCATGAATTTGACAAGTAAATTCAAGTAATAAACAATTTATGCTAAGGTATTAACAAGTACAATTACGCAATTAGCAAGTAATGTAGTTTTGTTTTGAGAGTCACGGACTTAATAAGAAAAGTTAAGCAATTAACAAGTTCTGTTAAGGTATTAATAAGTATAGTTACACGATTAACAAGTAATATAGTTCTGTTGTGGGATTCATGGGGTTAATAAGAAAAGTTAAGTAATTAACAAATTTTGTTAAGGCGTTAACAAGTAAGGTTACGCAATTAATAAGTAATATAATAATTAAGTGATTTGGAAACAAGGTTTATTATAAATAAAATTTTATGTATCACATAATTGAATGGATTTAATAGTTTGGTGGTTCAAATTTTTTTTTGGTGAGCCAAGTGGTCATAAATTCTACACCCATCTTGACCACTTTTGGAGAATTTAATTCTCCATAATTCCCTGGCTATTGTCGGCGATGGTCCAACCGATTATTAGAGCTCCAGTAGTGTTCTTGCAACGACAACTAGTGGTTTTTTTAACATTTGAATTAAGGGTATTTTCATTTTTTCAACATTCAATTTATTTTCAATTTAATCTTGGAGGGCTAAATTGAAGTTTTAAAATCTTTAAGGACCCACAAGAAACCATGTGACTTCCCAGATCCTTAACTAAAATTTTCTTTAAAAAAAAAACAATTATACTCTAGAAACCAACCTAGTAGCCTAGAGAAGGTCTAATCACTAACCTAATCCAATTCTGTATTTGTACAGCCCTACGTACCACCTCTTTTTTTATCTCTTTTACTTTCACCATCGCCATCATTTTAAGGATTAAACTTCATTGCATCTCTTTGTTGTCGCCTTAAATCTACCTGTTGAATCTTCATTGTCGCTTTAGATTTCCTCATCAAACTACACCATCGCTCCAATTTCTAGTCTCTCCTGCCCGTCATATTTTTCCAAGAATGGAAGCACGAAAAAAGTAGGATTGGAGTTTGAGCATTCTTTCTTCTTTTAATCTTCTTCTGTTGCTTTTATTTGGGAATTTATTGATCCTTTGTACATTCATAAGAACATCTTGGGTATTCTAGGTTTATGATTTTTTGTTGTTATACCATACACCCTAGTTTTCCATTTTTGTTTGATTATATTTATGGAATGTGATGTGGCTGTTTAATATTGATGCTTTGGTTCTGATTCAATGTTTATTCTGGTCGTCATAGTGTTTATGGATATTTTTTTTTGGGTTATTGAGTGATTTAAATTTGGTTTTGTTAGCTAATTTTTTACTCTGATCTAATTCCTTCTATCATGATTTTTTTTTGGTAAACAATTCCTTCGCCCTTTTTTTCCTCAGATATTTTGTTATTTTTTTTCCTGATTTCATTTTGGAAATTAGCTTTTAAGGATATCATGGAAAATATATTGTTCACTGCATGTCTACAGCGATGAACCGACCGCACTTAAGATATAAAGGGTGAGGGTGTTAATGTAAATATATATCATTATACTTTACAATATAGATAGATAAAGGGTGAGGGTATTAATGTAAATATACATCATTATACGTTACAATATAGATAGATTTAGTTCTGCTTCTTTTATTAATAAATTACAAACAGCTAGAATGCCCAAAAAAAAAAAATACAAACGGCTAGTTATAAGTATTAAATTCATGAGGTATAATGCTAAATTTATAATTCTAAGTTTAACAAATTTAATTTATAACAAATGACAAAATAAAAATTAAATTAATTATCTAATGTTTAGATTTATTAAGGAAATCATTGGCAAAAAATATGGGAGCATCCTTATGAATCAATCAATTTTTTTGGTGATCAATCAAACATTTAACTAAAAAATCCCGTTAGTGAAAAAAAAAAGTTAAAATCAATAAATCAATCGATCTAATTAATAATGATACTACTATAAATTAAATTTACAACAAACTGCCAGTAATAAATCATTAACTAATGTTTAGATTCTTTTTCTAGTTTTTTATTGAGGAAATTATATAAGTAACGTCCAGAGTGCTTATTTCATTTAATTAGTTATATAAATATTTAATATATTACTTATTTTTTAAAATCATTTTTCAAATATTCATATAAATACCCCACATTTGATGATATCTTTGTGATTTCTTTTGTTAAAAGAATCTATTATTTTATTATTTTTAAAATTTTATGATATTTTTAATATTTTTATAATTTTACAAATTTTTTATTATCTATTTTAAAATTTTATGATATTTTCATATATTTCTATAATTTTACAAATGTTTTTTAATTATCTCATGGTTCTTTTACAAAAAATAAAAAGAGCTATACGGTTTTCAAAATAATAAAATATCTTTTTTTAAGATAATAACTAAACAACAATCATTTATCAATAAAAAGTAATATAATTTTAACATAATTGGTTGGATGTCATTGTATTTTATAAATGGAGGTATAAAGAGATATTATTTATCACGTATAACTATAAATAAAAAATTCATTACTAATCAAAAGGTAAAAAGTAAATTTAACTAGTTACTTTTAATTAACAAGACAAAAATATTATATAGAACAAAACAACAACGAAAACTATTCAAGATTTTAATGATAATAAAAATAAAATAATAATAATAATAATGATAATAACAAGTATAGCATCTCTTCTTAGTCGAAACATGATCACTTTTCTTTTACATTTATATTTTACGTTCAGGTTTTTAAACTGAGCCCCCCCCCCCCCAACTGTCAAATATTAATCTTATTTACTCACATTAATATTTAATAAATATTTACTATCCTAATTAAAACTAATTAAACTTATTTCAAACTTCGGGATACCAACGTCTATGAAGATTCAAGAATACTAGAATACCCACCGCCTCATTTGTCGACTCCTCACTTCCCCCTCACTCCCTACCGCTCTCTCAAGAATGCCACCGCCTTATTTTCTTTTTCTCCTGCGACCTCGCTTCGCTAATTCGCTCGTCCCGGTTCCCTCCTCCAGATTGCTTTTTGTTTCTAACCGATGATCACCAAGAATGGAGGATTCCCTTTTCAAATCTGGCTCTCTGGCACAGGGGCGACGCTCGGATCGTTTCAGTCTTTGTAATCTTACACGCTGGGGTTTTCATAGCTACCATGCTCCTCAATGGAGGACTCCTTTTTTGTTTGCTCGTCCCGGGTCCCTCCTTCAGATTGCTCCGGTAAGGGTTTCAATTTTCCCATGTGGGTTTCTTTTGATTTGGGTGAAATCTTTTTAAATATTGAACAAACTCCACAATCTGTTCTATGAAGTAAATGTATTATCAGATTCTCTCTCTCTTTTTTTCTCGACCCCTCCAGGTCCCAGCCTTCTTTCTTGTACTGCTTCTCAACACTCAAGTTTGATTTTTTTTAATCCACAAAAAACTTTGAATGTGTAACAATGTATTTGCTTGAACCAACATTATTATGTGCCAATTACCAAGAAGAAAGCAGGCTTATTGAGAGGGCATGTGGAATATCGGCCTCTCGCCTTCGAGTGAGGAGGTCATATTGTGGGATTCCAGAACCTTCAACTATTACGTTCTGGCAAAAAAGAGACCCGGGTGCAACTTGCACTCTAGTCCCATTCTTTTCTTTAGTTTCTAGAGGAGGCCTGATTTTTTTGACACTTGACAGATTTATTATTTTTCGATTTGTTCTCAGGAGAAAAGGAACAGGGATGGAACTCGATCCTCTGAATCGCTTAAATTGTGTCCCCTAACTTTTCCCCTTTTCCACGTATTGGACTGTAGCATAGCACCCTGCAAAACCCAATCCAATTAGGCCCTGAACTCTAAATTCTAAATTTAAGTAAAAAGAAGATGATGATGAAAAACCAATCTCACAACTCAAAGTGACAAATGTTCACACACCTAAATAAATGATTAAATTTTCAGCTTGCGTGTGTGAAATAAATCAGGTTTAAAATGATTTATGTTGAAATTTATTTCTAGTTTGTTTAATCCTATCATAATTTGCTGATTATTGAATCAAGCATGGCGGTGCTCAATTACTTGTTCTCCATAGAGAAAAAAATGTCAGTAAAATTAAATTTGGAGGAGGAGAGGGCAAGGGCGAATGGAGGTCGAGGACAGAGTAGTGTGAAGGCGATGCTACCTGACGACAATAAAATTTGGAGGTTAGTGAGGACAAAACAAGCGAAGAATGCCCTGGTGTCATCTCCTGTGCTGATATTGTAGCCATTGTTGCTCGTGACTCTATTGTTCTTGTGAGTTCACTTTGCACATAGACGTAGTTTTCACTCTCTCTGATTAATTAATTAATACATCCCTATATATCAAAAGATTTAATAACTAATTCTGTCATATATTTAGTTATATTGAAGCTTGGAGGACTTGCCTGGAAAGTAAAGCTGGAAAGAAGAGATTCAAAGACAGCATCTAGCTTGGCTGCTGCAAACATTAAATCTCCTTTTTCTTCACTCAGCACTCTCATCTCCAACATTAAATCTCACGGCCTCTCTGCTAGGGGACATGGTTGCCTTATCTGGTATTCCTACTTCTCCATTTATTCCCTTTCTGTAGAATCAATCTTATGTATGTCTGTGTATTGAGGTGTGCTAGTAAGTGGGACATAAATGTCACATTTTTATCAATGACGAAGATACCTATTTTATGTCTCCTCGTTTTAGTTAAAAGCCTCGTCACTTCGATCAATGAAGAAGATGAGCTTTGATATTTTTATTCATATTGAGCAATTTTTTAGTAACTTTGTAATGAAGTATTTACTGTTATTTACCAGATATGAAGAAAGTTGCCTTGATTAAAAACTCTAGCTTTTTGTTCTGTTGTGTGAATTATTGGTCATTTATTTAAAATCACTCATATCCATTACAAATCCATCAGGCATATATATTTTTAATAAAATTATAATCCCATCAAATCCGTATATTGTTGATCAATGAAATGAATGAATTTATATATCATCATCATAATTCAATTTTCATATATTTTTCATTTTACCCTCACAAAAATTAAACACTTCAGTAGGAAGCCAATGAGTCTTGGTCTCGTAATATTTTTTAAGAATAGCACTCTAGTATGCACTTTTGATAATATCTTTTCATTTTATACTGACTTTCAATTCTGCATTTGATTTTATTAGGTTTCTTTGGATCCTTTGACCTTAAGAATCTGTTCAGTAAAAAAAAATTGCCCTTCGTCCTTTCATAATTTTAATTTATACCTTTGGATGCATACATACTTACATGGAGTTAAGTCTACTCATTATAATAATTTTACTTATTTCTTTCTCTTTTTTTGCCAAAATATTACTTATTTCTTTTAATTTACAAATTATTCACTTAAAATAAGGTTTAATAATTAATTAGATCTTAGATTGGGTAGCACTTATGAGTCAATCGACTTTATGAATTGAATGAGGAATTTTGGTGATTTATTAATAATGTGACTATTGTTTGTTTTAGAATTCTCACGGCATGAATCTTTGAATCTCTCTTACCATAGTCATACTCAAAGTTTCATGTTTTTGAACAGATCTTGATATTGATGTTGAGCATATCTTGAAGGATTGCATGTTTGGTTGTTTGAGATCACACCTTCAACTTTAAGTGCTTGAAGCACTTTAAATTAGGTTGCATCCTCTCCTTCACTCTTACTTATCATATTGCTTGTTGATTTCTCTGATTGGGAATTGTCTAAGTGAGGGGGAGGTATCCAGTGGGAAAAGCTAAAAAAAAAAAAAAAAAAAATCCATTACATTTAGTTTGGATTGCATTTAGGTTTTTTGACATTTTGAAGCTTTTTTTCTCTTAGTTGTTGCATTCATTTAGGTTGATAAGTTAAGTTTGTCGGGATTGAAGGCTGTAACATTTAAGAGTGTATTTTTGAAAGGGGGGGAGGGGAGTGTGTTTTAAGTCATTTTGCATGGTTTTATGAGTTGGCCAAAATTTTTCTGATTCTGTTTTTGAAAAAGCTTTAGAAAATTAAATAAAAGTTTTGTTTTGATTCAAGGATGCTTGGTTTGATAAGATTGCCAATGAGATTTGAAGCATTAGACTTGGATGTTTCAAGTGTAGCTAGGATAGGATAGAATGTTCTACTTGGTTTGCTTGAGCTAGGGGATAACATAGCCCATATGGAAGGTTATTTTGAGCCTATATTGATTCCTTTCTAGTGTGAATGATCCACTTATTCTATTTCATTCTTCAGAACTTGTTCTTATTCTTTATCATAGCCAGTTTTGCATATGTATTGTGAAGATGATAAAGGCATTCGTATAAAATAGCCAGTCTAGCCAAATAGCCAACCTAACATGATTGTATCCTTTGCTAGCCACTTTGAACCTATTGGTTATTTTCTTTCATTCCATTCATTATTTACTCCCTCATGCTTTCCAGGAATGCAAGTTATGCTATATTATTGTTGGGATCCATTTGCATGTCTAGTATTCAAGTTGTGGATAATCTGAGTTGTATTGAATATTCGATATAAATTGTGAATGAATTGAAGGCGAAAGTTGAAATGATTGTTTTGCAGCAGCTAGAAAAAGAAAAGAAAAGAAAAGAAAACAAGGAGAAAAGGCCAATAAAAAATTGTCAAAAAGAAAAGAACACAAGGAGAAAAAGCCAAGGGAAGATTGTCAAAAAGAAGGAAAAAAAAAAAAAGGCAATAGGCAATGTGAAAAAAATGTGGAAAAAAATAGAAAGAAAGAAAAAAAAAAAGAAGAAAAGAAATAAGAGTTATTGTTTGCTTAGTTATGAATCACCTTGCTCTTAGTTGATTAGTATTGTATGTTTTCCATGTCTTGAACCTAGCTTATGCTTATGGATCCCATGTCATTGGTTTGGGAAATAACTGTTATCTATGTGTTATACCCTTTTTCTTTTCACTTGCATTCCTACATCCGCTTTTCACCCTTTACATTACAACCAAATGAAAGACCTTTTGATTCATGTATGCATTATGATAATAAGTGGTGGAGATTTAGAATATGTACAAGCCTATGATAGAATGATTAGATAAGTGGACTTGAGTGAAATTTACCCCTAACTGCTAGTGAGATGAGAGTAAACACTTTTCTTTGTGTGGTTATCTGCCTATCCAAGTTTACTGGGTTTGATTCCTGAATATTCTAGTTGCATGAGAATCATTTCAGGTTGAGCATGGAGAATCGAATTGGCATAATTATCATTCTGAGCATGATGAACTCATTAATGTTTTCTTGATGAGTGATATTTCTTACCTTCTTTTCACCCTCATTTTTGTTGGTTTTTGTCACTTAATCTTCACAAAAATGAGTATTTTAAAACACTGAGCTATGATTTTGGGATTTTTAAGGTCAAAAGTTTTGGGCCAAAATTGTAATTTTCAAAGATACGTTCAAAAAATTCTCAATTTTTATTGGTTGAAAGAATTTGAGTCATACATTCCTAGGACGAGTTAAGCTTGAGTTCATTCTTCCTAGTTAAGGAATAAATCACGCATTGCTTTAACTTAAGACACTTTAATTACTTAGTTTAGCTACTTCCTTGTTTGCCTTCCAGCTTATGTGTCTGTGTACTGGGTTCAGAACTAACTTTGGGAATAATTGAAGTTTTAGGCTATGAAATTTTCTTATTTAAATTAACTAACATTTATAACAATTAATTTTTCTTTCCACTCTACCTCTTTTGTTGCATGTCTCCCTTCTCTCGTGATGGATTTTTTTTGAAGAGCTTGAGTCTCTTCAGTGAACAAGCTAACCTGAGCCTATGTAAGAACCGATTGGTATCATTGAAGGGCAAGCTAACTTGGATGCACATTTTAATGTAAGTTTTTTTTTTTTTTTAGGTTTTTTAGGGAGTTTGTTCATTTTTTAATGTCAGGAGTTGATTTATTTTATTTTCATATGGAAATTTTTTCTTCTCTATTCTTGAGGTGTTCCTTTTGCTACTTTAAATTTGAGATGTCTTTGGATATGGAAGTATTTTGCACTAACTAGGTATTAAACAGTAGGTTTCATGATGAGGGTAATTTTTAGGATGAATATTATGTTTGCGTTGGTGGAAGATGTCAAAATGAGCATGTTGAACAATTGACTTATGTCTTGGAATGTTATCCAATGGTACTCTAGCTATAGTTTGAACTATGCATGTAGTTATTGTATGTCTTGGTCAATGTTAAAGGTGATCGCTCGCCTTTGTGCCTTAGGCAGCACAACGCAAAACATTCTCATCCTCTCATGTGAAGAGAGGCGATGGGTTCACATAGGTGCTCACAAGGTGCACCTTTCTTGAGAGAAAGGCAAGCCTTTTGGTGCCAAGTTGCGATTTCTCTGCATAAATTATTCATGATGTATAGTGTGACAATTTTTCAAAGTATTTATATGAAGGTTAAGTGAATTTATACTGATCATTGTATCTATAATTTATGTTAGTTCAAAAGTTAAATTTATTATGTTTATTTGGCTCCACTTCCAGCAGATGAACTTGTAGTGCCTTCCTGTTTTTTTTTTGGTTTTGCTGTCTTCGTAGTTTTTTTCAGATGTGTGTGGAAACTATGGATAATTTTCTAGTCCCATATTCTAAATATGTGATATTTTAATATTTATATTGACTAATTTCCATGTAAAGTATTTAATTTAATAAATTCATTAATTTATATTTGTTATAAATATTTATTATTTAATATAATTAATGTTAATAATTGTTGATGATTGTTTTCTTTTCCTCCTGCTTTTATTGCATCTTCTCCTGCTGCTGCTGCTTCTTTTTTCTTACTAATCTTTTCTTTCAATTGTCTTTACTTTTCTCTTTGTAATTTATTTGTAATTCATGTGAAATTGCTTGAAATCTTTCCTTATTTTTTGCCCATCAAATCGTGCTACTTTTATATTTTATATGATTTCATATTCAGTTTAAAATATTTAAATTAATGAATTTAATAATTTAAGTTTGCAATACCAAGGCCATTCCTATACTTCTGTCTTCTATTTTCTTACATATCAGATTGTGCATTAGTAGCAATTGGTTGCTTAGTTTGTAAAATTATAATTTTTTGAATTGTGACTTATTTCATTACCTAATATGTAAGATTTCAATCATCCTCTCTTGGTCCTTTATAGGTGAATAATTTATGTGTATTATTTTATATGCCTTTTCCCCTCTCTTTTTCCTTATAACATAAGGTAGAGAATCTATGTTTCTTTCTGTTTCTTTCTATTAATGTTATTAAAGTTGGTTTTTGCTCATTCTTATTTTTTTTATTATTTATATTACAATCTAAATCTAACCATTCCTATATATATTTGTCTAGTTTCATATTATGCTAACATAACTTCATCTGGTTCTAACATATTTGTGTTATTTGTGTATTCATATTCTTGTTTATCCTTTTCTTCATAATTGTTCTTGTTGATCTATTTCACTCTTTGATTTAGCCATATTTTATTTTTCTTTTTATTATTTGGTATATATTCTTGTAAAATTATTTCTGCTAATCTATCATTTTTCTTATAATTTCCTGTAATTTAAATTATTCTTTGAATAATTAATTTTTCAATTATTTTCATCATTTACTTTTTTGATTCATATGATATAATGCTGCACTCTAATAAGCATTAGTATATATAATTCATATTACATCATTATTTATTGGAATTGATTTTTCTTTATTTTGGTTTATTATTTTTCTTTTTCTTTATTTTTTCATTTAATTGTGGAAATTTACAGAATTATAAGGAAAAATGGTAGATTAACAAAAATAATGATACAAGAATGTAAACCAGATAATGAAAAGAAAAAGAAACTATTTTCTAAATGGTAAAGGTTAGGGTTTGATTGTTAATGGTTATTTTCAATTCATAGAAGTTATGGGTCTAACTTAAGTAGAGTTAATGGAAGTAGATTAGGTTAAGTAAAATTTGATATTTATGGTTTTATGATGATTGATAGTTAGAGGATATTTCATAAATTTGGTGGTTGGGAATAATGTCGTTTTTGTTACGAAAGGGAGAAGTCCAGTGAAAGCTAAAGCTTCGCTGGAAAGGCATTGAAAGGGGATTTACTCCATATCTGTTTTCATCTCTCTAACCCGTTTCGGTTTGTCTCGTATCATTTCTCCCTGTCATCGAAATATGATTAGTAAGAGGGATGACAGGGCAGATGTCTTGGTGAGAGTGACCTATTGAACTAATGGGTCCCGTGCGATTCGATTCGAGACTGCTTTCTTATTGGTCCCACAGGTCACTTCACTTCTCTTGAAGATAGGGAAGAGGTAGTCTTATAGCACTGCTGCCATTTCTCATGAAACTTGCTGACATGCGAGATGAGACTGGAACCAAGGCTAAGGGCAAGAACTCAACAGGTTTATCATCAACCAACAGGAGCTTCAACTGAAGTCGAGGAGCTAACTAGAAAGCAGTTCTTGCTCCGGTTTCAAGGAATCCCTATATCACAGCTTGAGACGAGACCCAGTGAGCGTAGTTTACGGAGCGGGAGTCATAGTTCCATTAGCGAAGGAATTCGAACTATTAGCAGCCCTGTTCACTCTTGCTATCACTACTGCCACTAGAACGCTTGCTACCCACGTTGTTATCTTAGCCGGAGTCCACTCATCCAGTACTACAGCTATCTCTCTTTGCTTTATCTCTTCCTTTGCAACCATGGCATTTTCGCTGGCTCACTCGTCCCAGCAGCGCGATCAAACAAAGCAGAAAGTCAAGTGAAAGGATTGTTCTGCTCCCTTCTTAGCATTTAGCTTGGGTTTTTGCATATTATGAATCAAATGATAACAAGAGGAATGTAATATAATAAATAGAGTTAGATGAACTCTATAAATTTTCTCTTTGCTTCCTATGCATTCTTCCTCCTAAGAAAAGGTCCATCGAGAAAGCAAAGCTGACTTAGTTTGCTGGATTTTCGATATTGCTACTAAGTCGATCAACCCGTGGGCTTCCTTGCCCCACTAAATAGGATTGGGCATCCCGATTTTAGCATGCCTGATTGAGAAAAAGGCCAAGACGAAAAGTATTACGTTGCTGCCCGAAGTGTAGAGAATGTAAGTGGTGGAGAGGATGAAGTATCAATATTAATACGCTTTAGTGGGAGGCGGAAGGCTGATTAGTTGGATGGTATTTTTCCAACCCGATTGAGGTTGGATCAGGAATGATTTTCCTGTGTTGGTTAAGGCTGAGTTCATAGTTTCATTTTCTCTTAGCTACGAATGACCCAGGAGCAAGCACTAGCAAAACGTGACGAGAAAGGGTAAAAAATACCTGCACCCAATCCTGCTCTTAGGCCACTAAGAAAAGAACAAGGATTGACTCTTCACTGAAGAATTGCAACAGCAAAGCAAAGTAAAAGGCTAACGAGTGAATACAATGCCACTAAAATTTGAAATACCACCGATTCAATAGTGAATGAAACGAATAAAGCATTATACTCCTATCTCAGATGAGACCACTTTCCTACTTCATTCATTTTACTTTGGCCGGAAGAAATGAAACCTTCTAAGCTCCGGGAGCTGCTTTCACAGTAGACACGTGCCCTTACCTTAGGAGCAGTTGGAATGTATCTTTCTTCATTTGTAATTGGACAAATTGAATTTCCTTCTGCTGGGCTGACCCTTGCTTGCCCCTGACTCCTAGCTTTTGCCTGCTTTTTGACTTTCGACGTGGGTGACTGCAATAGGTGCCCTTTCATAGAAAGGCAGAACCAGAGCGTGGATTTGGGCTTTCACCTTTGCCTTTCGATCCTTCCGGTTGGTGCACTCAATGTGATGCTAGTCTCAGAGTAATGACCTGGGAACAATCTTGCCAGTAAGATTCATACAGGAAAGACAGAAAGGGATAGCCACCTTTTGCCTCAATCTAATGCCAGGATTACCTCGTTGAATGGCTTAACGAGGACTTAGACTCTATTTAGGAGAATAGATGCACCACTTGCTTTCTTTTCGGATATTCTTTTTGTAGAATAAATAAGATACTAGACGAAATGCACAGAAGACCTTGGAATGCCCGATTAGGATAAGGATAACAAGGTCGATGTCCTTACTAAAGGCAAAAATTCACACCTAGGAAGAGCGGGCTCGGTCTATCGATTACAATCCACTAGGAAGGAAAAAAAGACAGAGACAATAATCTCACCGCACATGAAATGAAGCAGAGACTACAATACCTCTCTTGTCTCACCAACAAAAGATGTCTTCTAACAATGGAGGGAAAGGAAAATCCAATCCCTTGTTGATGACAATCGTAGGGCTCTGACCGCCCCTCCTGCAGCCTTTGAGGAAGAACTCCCTCATAATAGGTCCGGAATTTGCCTCCACGTGGCACGCACGTGATGACACACAGTTGGTTACCCGGGAGATAGAGATAGAACTGTAGCGATCCCCTCTCCTACTTCTATCCAGTCAAGATCACTAATTAGCAGATACATTTCAAGGTCGAGTTCACCAGTCTGTCCTAATAGTTTGAGGGCCGTGAGAAGCATCCCAAAGGGAGGAGAAAGATCTTGCTTTGAGGCTCGCTTTAGATCGAATGATTCCATGGGGCTTATATGGAGCTAGTGATGGGAGCCTCCCGGGCAGGGGAGGTGATGATGCTGCTTCGCTTCCTCGCCTGGCACTGGAAAGAATCCATCATGCATGGTTTAACCCTCATGCTTAACAATAGCTAATCGTACCTCCAATCCAGTATACCATATCCGCGTAAACTCTAGGACTTCCCTTCCGAGAGAAATTACTTCGCTTAAGCAATTCCGTCCGGTTATAAGACTTGCATCTAAAGCAAAAGGGATTGGGGCTGTTTTG